GCTTCTGCGGCAGGCAGGTCTCCGCCTGCCCCTCCAGAGATGCTGCCCCTCCAGAGATGCTGCCCCTCCAGAGATGCTGCGATGTCTGGTGTTTGCTGCTCCGAGGCTCCTCTCTCCAGCACTGCCCCGTGCGCTGGCTGGTTCTGCTGGGCTGGGAAACATCTTCTCCTTTGGAGAACCAGCAGCCCAGCTGCAGCCGGGGAGGCAGGTTGCTGTTGAACTACAGACATTTCCTTGTAGCTTAGCGTGTTTTCACGCTGCTGCGCAAGAGGCTGGTTCGGCAGCACGAGGGGCTGAAGTCTCTGTTTATCGGCGGAAGAACCACCATAATCTCCTCCTGCACGTTCCTCCCAAGCCTCATTTCCAGAGACGTCCCTCTCTGAGCATGGGAGAGCTTGGCTGCCCCCTCCATCCTACCTGCGCGTACCGAGACGGCCAGCAAAGAGCCTAGCTGTAGCTGTGCCCCTCCTGAAACAAAACCAGGCTGAGAAAGCTGTTGAGCTGCAGGCCACCAGCCAGCTGGCAGGTTGTGGCAGCCCCGGTCACCGCTGGGTAGGGCTGAGAGGAGCCATCAGCTGAGATGAAAGGCTGGAGTCTTTCAGTGACAAACGCCAGGGGCCTGGTTTAGACCAGATGTGTGCTTCATGGTAAAACAGCGGCTTTGTGTGGTTTTCAGTCCCAGTTTCTTCTGTGTGGCCTTTTCTCTGCCAACGTTGAATTCATTGCGGGGGAGTCATCCCAGTCTACGTGTAGTTAAGCTACCGAACTCACCATCTGAGGCTTTGGGGGTTTTTTAAAACACATTTTCACTTGGTATTACATTATGACACATTAAGTTGCCTATCTCCTATCTCACGAGCTCTCTCTCTCTCTTGGGTTTTTCTCTCACCTTTTAAAATGTGGTCAGCACCGCAGGCTCCTGGGGGCAGAGGGGGGTGCGTTCTGCTTGCTCATCTCCGACAGGCGAACCCCTTAAGGCAACGCCGAGCCGCAGAGGCGATGGAGATCTAGAGGGCAGAGAGGAGGCTGGGAATCGGCTGCTGTCTCCTGCATCCCTTTGCTCTGGGAAAATCTTTTTTCTCTAGTTCTTTCTTCTCCCTCGCGCGTCAGCTGGGACAGTAATGCCAAATTCAGTGGAGCAGGAGGCTTACCAGTGCTGCAGGGGTAACTGGTGCCAGCGTATGCCGTTAGATGTGCCTGAGCATGGGGCTGAGCAGTTTCCCTCTCCGGTTCCGTGGGGATACGCGCTGGATCTGTTCCAGAGCTTTATTCAGTTTGGGTGTAAATGCCCCAAGAGGTTCTGTTTGCACCTTTTCACAGACATCCTTGCTGCCAAGCCCCTCAGCCTGGCTCCTGGGCTGCTCTTGTCCCCTCCTTTGAAACCCAGGAGTCCTCCTCCTGCTTGGAACTTTCGGTAGGGTCCGAGAGGATCTCTGCTGGATTTCAATCCTCTCTTTCTTTTTCCAGGCTCTGTTCAACCTCCTGATCCCAGATCACACCGCGGACGCCTTCTCCCCGCCTCGCTTATCCGAGCCTGGCCTGTGGGACCTGCTTTTGGAGCGGCTGCTGGGAGGCCTCTCGCACTGGGACGCGGAGCACTTCCTCTTCATCGCCGAGCGCGGTTACCTCTACGAGCACAACTGCGCCTTCTTCCCCCTGTACCCCCTGCGCCTA